CCAACCCCACGGACCAGCCTCCAGGCCAGGGGTCCACGGGCCGACCTCCAAGCCAGGGTTCCTTCGCCCATTTCGGCACACATGTCACGAAGATCGCGCCCCACATGGAATTCAAGCCCCAAACCCGGGCAAACGGCGATGTTGCTTAACGGCGAGGTTGAGAATATGATGTTTCAGACCCCCCGCTCGCAGTGTAAACTCGATGAATTCGGTGCCATGGCGCACTTTCCATCTTGACGAAAACAAGCTTCAACATCCTTGTTCAAGAGTTCCCGAACGCTTACAGGCGTCAAAGCCGTACACGCGCCGCACGTGCAACTATCGCGCGCGCTCGTTTGAACTCGGACGTCGTTGCGACGCAGAGCCCACGCAAAATGAAATGTAGGAAATCACGAACCACCGGTTCCTACATTTCACATTTGCGAATATATCGTGCGAAAACGACACCGCGAAATGTAGGAATGCACGAACCACGATTTCCTACAAAAGGCTCGGCCACCAACGACGCTTTCCTTCAATCGTTTTTCCTGCGTCGCCGTTATCCGCGTCGCCGGTTAACCGTCTACGGCGCGATATTCTGAGTTCGTCGGAAAACCATTAATAAATGCAAGCAAGGCTGCTTTTCATGCAGGTCGCACCTGCGAGACACGGTTCCCCCGAAGCCAATGCCGCCAGCACGCGAGCCAGCCTCACCTACAATACCACAACCTACGTCGCCGTTCGCTACATCGGCGTTTGCCCGTCTACGCCTCGAGCTCCAGCGAGGGTGACCCTGTCTGGTTCCACGCCGCACCACTCACGAGGATCGCGCCCTACACCCAGCTCCAACTACAGCTCCAGCGAGGGTGGCCCTCTCTGGTTCCGACCCATCTTCGCCGCATCCCTAACGAGGATCGTGCCCCACAGGGAGCGTCAGCCACAGCTCCAGCGAAGGTGGCCTTTTCTGATATCATGCAAGTTCCGCCGCATGCTGATGATGATGATGGTGAGGATGATGAATCGGATGATGGTATGGCAATGAAATTATATATGACGAACATGATTACGACGATGATGTTGACGATGGTAATGATGGCGACGGTGGCGGTGACGAGGACGACGTTCATGGTGATTATGATGATGGCCATGCTGAAGATGATGGTGATGATGAGGATGTTGGTGCTAATGAATATGATTAGAATGATGCTGATGATGATGCTGGCTGTGACGATGATGAGAGAGAGGAGCACTGGAACGGAATGCGGAGAACGATGGGGGGGGAAGGGTGGCAGGGGGTTGGAGAGGATTGCGATGGTTGCTGGGAAAGTGGCGCAACAACCCCCAAGCTGGGGCAACACAGAAATGGCCGGCTCAATACATGCATGTATATACATACATACGTACAGATATATATGTTGATCGGATCTCGGCTCCCGCCGAAAAACTCCAGCATGGAGGCCGGTCCACTGCCTTGAAATAACTCGAATACTAAACACAATATGCGGACGTGTGGGAATGGTCATAATAGTAGTAGTAGTAGTAGTAGTAGTAGTAGTAGGAGTAGTAGTAGTAGTAGTAGTAGTAGTAGTAGTAGTGGTAGTAGTAGTAGTAGTAGCAGTAGCAGTAGCAGTAGCAGTAGCAGTAGTGAAAGTATCCAAAAATACGATTGGTGATGATGTGCTGGTAGGGGCAGTCGTACAGTCGTAGAAACACGAGTCGCAGTCGTAGAAATAGAGGTAGTAGCAAAGTAACAATAGTCGTAGTATCGGTCAAGTAGTCGCGGTAATAATAATAATATGGGTAATCGTGTTTGTACTACAGCAGCAGTAGTAGTAGTAGTAGTCGTAGTAGTAGTAGTAGTAGTAGTAGTAATAGTAGTAGTAGTAGTAGTAGTCGTCGTAAGGGTCAGGCACCTGTAGTCGCAGTCGCAATTATAGCAGTCGTAGTAGGAGTAGACGTGGTAGTAATAGTAATAAGAATGGTAGTGTTCGAGGCGAGGGTCATACTAATAGTAGTCGTAGTAGTAGCTGTAGTAAAACTAGCAGTAGAAGCGCGACTGACTAAACTGGGGGTGATAATGGATGTCGTCGCCGTAGTCGCAGTACAAACAATGGTAATGCCACTGCCTGGAATAATGCGAATACTACTCATCGCAGGCGTACAGTAGTACGCAGTAGACGTGCTGGCAGTTCGACTCGCAGCAAGAATTACAACAGTAACGAACAGCAGTGGTAAGAATTTAAGTCATCGTGATCGTGGTTGCAGCAGCAGCAGTCGCCGTAGTAGTAGTAGTAGTAGTAGTAGTAGTAGGACAGATAATGGAGGTAAGGGTAGTAGTCGTAGCAGTAGTAGTCGTCGTCGTACAAGTAATTGTGGTAGAATTCGTCGTACGACGAATCATGGTGTTTACGGTAGAATTAGCAGTCGCAGTCGTAGCCGTCGTGGCAGTAGTCGGGGTAATAGTAATAGTAATGGTACTACAATCAGTAGTAGTAGTAGTAGTAGTACTAGTAGTAGTAGT